TCAATACCTTCTGCTACAATTGCATAATCTCGCCTTTCAAAATCTCGTCATAATTTTAAATAAATCTTGTATTACCCTACCTTTATATTGTAAAGAATTCCCTAAGGTTGTTTGTGAGGACGCATTGAACACTACACGAAGCTTTGTAGTACTTTTATCAAGGCAATAAACTCCTAAATGTGGTATATAATATGTTCCTACTTCTTTCTCACACTCTGGTATTTCTGTCATATGACCCACATTTTCATATTCACATAAAAATTCCCTGTATAATGATAATTACTCAGGCTCTTTTATAAGACGTTTCCACAGCGACTCTAATTTTTTTAAGCGCCCTGACCCCCTACTGACACCGTCATTGGCCTACGAATGTTCAATAACGGTTATAAAATAAAATAAAATTTCACACCAAACCAGTTTTTCATTTTTGTAAGCGTTTCAATCTTTAAAATTTTACACTGGAGAATTTCGGGATTTGTCTTCTGAAGCACTAGAAAATTGCATGTGCAGTGCAGCAAAATAATTTCTCGAATACAGCTCGTAAACTTGAAACAACCCATCCAGTACTTAATGCTTTTTATTCAAGCTCTCTTGCACGTTCCTCGAGCTCTCTTATGTTTTAATAAATTATCAACAAGTATTTTAAAGATAGATTCTTAAAACTTCATTGGCAACACATCTGCCACTAGTTGCAATCTATAGTTTAAGTCGGACCATATAACTATAGGTCACAGTACTTTCCTAGCACTTGAGCTGCTCTCTGTATTTTGTTTTAATTAATATTTGATGCTTCACCACTTGTCAAACAAACGAAATTATTTCATATATGTTCATCATTTGATATATGCTTATGAAGGAATTTTTAAAAGATCTTTATACTATTAATAATGTTCGCAGTTCAGTCAAATCAAGAAAAATTTTTAACTTTCGATCAAGGCATGCAAATTGAACCTCGATAAATATTTTTAAAAACGGAGAATAAACTATTATGTGTATGCGTTCATTTCCAACTAAATCACTAGAGATAAATGGATCTTTTCTTTCCTTGTTCTTGAAATGGGGAAAAACTAAAATTTCTGAATGAAATTTAGTTTTATGTACTAATTGTTCACTACTTATGCAATACATATTTTTATTTAAAAATTAAAACCAGCACTAACTTTTTTCATCGTATTTTAGAGCAAAAAATGTGATAAGCGGGATTTAATTAAAAATATCACGGCCCTGTTATGCTTAAATTCTCCGATTTTTATATTTAATTGCTAAAAAGTATTAAAATAGTCTGATCAAATTAAAGTTAAAACTGTGAAAAAGCCTCAAAACAGTGAAATGATCTTTATGAAATAAAATTGAACTAGTGGCGATTTTGTTCAGGGGATATTATTATGAACACTACTGGTTTTTCAATGGATGGTGTTTTTAATATAAATGTAAACAATGACAATCTTGAGCTCAATATCTGTTCTAATTTCGGTTAGAAAGTTTACAATTGCTTACTACACCTTATTCTGCGAGGCGATATTTTCGAAAGGATAATTTTGTTTTCAATAAAAGAAGTAAGTTAGATAATTTCTGAGCTCAAATCTGTTGTATTTCGTAAGATATTACTATTATTAAGTAATTCCGGTGAGTTTTAAGTGAAAATTTGTTTTAGTTATTCATCGATATATTATTAAAAAAGTTGGCAAGGTTGCAAGGGCGCCGGCAGAATAATAACCCTTTAACGAACTACATACACCCCCCCCCCCCCNAAAAAAAAACAATTTTTTTTTTTTTAAATATTCTGTTATTACATTTTGTTATTACATATACTTTCATCGATTAATTTTTTTCAAGATACATTTCTTCATTGTTAACAAAATATTTTTAAAAAATTCGAATTTCTTGTACTTCTAAATTTTGCCACGAGAAGCTGCTGTATTGATAGCGCTGGCATATCTACTGACTTTGAAACACAAATAACTACAAACAGTAGTTTCGTATACTAACGTGTTTGTGCACGCTTAACATTGGTATTTATTGTGTTGATGAAGTTTTACAGCTGTGAGAAGTCAGTTTGTGTTATACACCTTTTTAAACTAAATAACTAAGAAAATATAATATTATTTATATTTTATTAAATGAAATTTAAAAATATAGCTTAGATATCTGCCAAGTTTGCGCATGCTCAGTAACGAATCAAAGGTGACTCGGAATTCATTGAAAAAGTTATAAGCAGATTTAGACAGCAAATAAGACGATTACAATTCTTGCTTCAAACAATTTTTTAATTGTTATGTATCAATAATTACTTAATTATTTGTTTTTGAATAAAAATATTTTTAATAAAAAATTTCTATAATAAAATTATTTTTCGGTATCTCTTTAATTTTTTTTTTTAAAAAAAGCCAGGGGGGGTGCGAGTGCACCCTCTTGCACCCCGCTGCCAGCGCCCTTGCAAGGTTGCTAGATTTTGAATAACTCGCTTTTTTGTCAGTCATGATTTGGCCTTTTTTCCATTTGCTTATTACTGTTTGTTCTTGTTGCAATCTCTGTACCATCTTACTTTAGTGTTAGCACCTTTAGCATTGTAAACACAAGTAATAAGTAATCAAATATCACGTTTGTAAGAATCTCAAAACGAAATGATCACGTTGTGAGCCAAATGGCTTTAAAATACACCGGAAACAGTAACCTGGAAGTATAGGCGTATAGAGCTTGCAGCGTTCCCTAGTGTAGAAAACACCATCCATTACCATGTAAGCTACAAACAACAACTCATCCTAAAGTTATTTATACCTGTAATTGTTCCCAAGCAACTGTCAGTCAAATATTTATTCATATGTGGGAATTTCAAATGAATTAATTTGTTTTAACAGAAAGCCATGGCTGAATCAAAGCCAAATTGTGATCGTAATAATTCTCACGATCATTTTTGCAATGTGAATGAACGCCCTGTTGAGGATATATCATTAGAATTTTTCTATAAACCTCATACGATCACACTCTTAAGTGGGGCTTTTATTGCTGTGTTAGTGTCGATTTCTTTACGGTAAGTTATTATTTTTTGAATTTTATATTTGAAAGACTTAATTACATTTTTTATCGACTACTAAATTCTCAACTAACATTGATCTTAAGAAAATTAGAGGTCTTAAATATTCCGAAAAATGTATTTTTAATTTAGTTTTGATATTGTCAGGTATCAAGGTATCTTTCTGAATAACTTTCCTTCTATACCTATCTGTGTTTTCGGGACAAGGAATTTTAAAAATCACAAAATTTATTAATGTCAACCATTAAGAATAATAATGACTAAGTAAATATTTGTAATAATAGTAATTAAACCTATAAACAAAGATAATTTGTGTGTGTAATTATTATTAATAATTTTTTTTTCTCAAGAATAAAATGGGAATAAAAAAGCATGTTTTTAAGGGATGGTGGTTTATTTTTACAAAATGAACAAAGAGGATGTATTTATAGGGATTAAAGGTTAGACAAGGCGGGCCACATTTCTAAAAATGCTTAAAGTGAACACTATCCTGTGTTTTCTTTCACACTTGTCTTTTTTAAAAAGATTTTCATATTGACTTACCAAGGTTCTCCAAAGTGAACTGATCCATAAAAAACACTACTTAATATTTTAAGTATGTGTCACCATTCACACCAGTTTTTATTCATATTCAAAAGTAAGCATTTTAAATATTTTTTTTAATAATCTCTCTTTGCAGTTAAAGTATCAATTTGAAACTTGTTTCATACATTTAATTTACAAACATAGGTTATCCCTAGTTAATTTTACAAATCTTTGTAAAATTGTACTTTTTAAAAACACTATTTATAAAAGTGCTTTTTTATTTTTTCATAGATAATACAATATAAATAAAATATTTCTTGTTATAGAAATGTAAAGAATTATTTTTTTGGAAACGCAAATTGAAAAGACATATTTTTGTTAATTAATTCGAATCTTTTATGCCGGGGATAGAATACTTATTAGATTTTAAATTTTTTTTTTATTGATTCCTAAAATATATATTTATTTTGAAGAGAGTTAAAAAGGTATATTTTCCTACTACACTAACTACCATCACCAATTTGCAAAACTAAATTACTTGCAAAAACTAAAAAGAAAAAAAAGAGTGTTTTACTTGTGGACGACTATTAGTTATACTTTTTGAGTTTGTCGTGCACCATGCTATTTTTTTTTTTTAGTTTGTCACAGGTACTGTTTCAAAACTCTTACGAAGTCTAAATCAACCTACTTGAGAGCTGCAAGCTCCAAATGGATTATAAATATTCTTGCTTGTAGCATGAATGTGACAGATTAGAAGAGCACAGCTTTTTTTAAATGAAGGCAACACTAATGTGAGGGGGAAAAAAATCTGCCTTTTGAGACTGCAATAAATTCTATGTTTTAGTTCAGGGATGGGCAAACTTTTTTTGGTCAAGGGCCAAGAAAAAAAAATTATTTTTCGGTGTGCTAAGTAAAAATTTCAGAAATAAAAAAAAAACAATCTGCAAGTTTTAATTTAAATATTTAATGAGATGAATGAAATTACGATTTCATTTTTAAAAGTTCTTTATATTGAGGTTCTAAGTGATATGTACTTACTTTAATGAACGAGGCTAAATGTTTGTCTGTTAGTCTACTTCTGAAATGATCTTTTCTAAGGTTCATTGTTGAAAATACTTGTTCACGTATATGAGATGAAGCAAACTTAGCACTGATTTTCTGGGCATGAGATATTAAATTTTTGAAACTAGCTTTTGGTAATGATTTGTAAAACTCAAACTTTGGCATATTTAGAAACAACTGCTTCAGATGATTGTTAGATTGCAACTCAATTAATTCAGGCTGCTAATCCTACTTAAGTGTTTCATGATTTATGTTGAAAGGCATGGTAAAAATATCTAATTCTGTTTGAATGGCACTGAAGTCTTGAAATCTGCCTTGAAACTCAAAATTGAGTTTTTTTTCAAGCCAAATTCATAAGTCTCAAGCTTTTCCTTATTCGCAATGGATTGCAAGTTAAAATTCTATCCGAGGGCCGGATAAAATCTTTCGGCGGACCACGGTTGGCCTGTGGGCCAAAGCTTGCCCATCCCTGTTTTAGTCAATTGCTTATTTAATAATTTCATGTCGTTTGTTTGTCGTGTGAAATACCAGTTTTTAAGATCTGTTTGAAAGTCATTGATGTCTGTGATAGTTTTATGTATATTTTTCTTTTAGTAACGATGACAATTTTGAAGATAACATATGGCGTGGAATTTTATGTGTTTGTTTCTTTTTCCTCATAATTAGCACATTAGCCTTTCCAAATGGTATGTATATATATGTTTTCCAGTAGATATTTTATTAGTTGGGTAAATTTTTAGTTGTTGTTACAGATTATTTTGTTACTAATTTTGTTGTTCACTTATTATTGTTGATTGCTTTTTCAGCTGTAGTTGCCAGAGTTTTTTAAAATCCTGATATTTTTAACTGTGATTTGATATCATTTGAAAAATCACTTTTTGTCACTCACAATTTGTAAAGATTTATTCCTAACTCCAAAGTTTTTATTATTAGGTATTATGATTCATAAATTTTTGCCTTTTTGCTTCTATTCCAAAATTTATTTACCTACTAAATTTTTTCCATCATAAGTTATAAAAATAGTTCAGTTTTTGATGTATATTTTTATATTTTTAGAAATTTTAGTTTTCAAGGTTGTGCTGCATAATTTTGAAATAATTCTAATAAATTTATTGTGCTCTCTACCTATTCTATTCTTTAATTTTTTTTTAGTTCAGAGTTGGCAAGTTTTTGATTTATGTTTGCTTTTGTCATGGTTTTTTAACACCAAAAATCCAGATCATTGGTGACATTTTTTATTTTATATCAACTATTTAAAATTAAAATAAAAAGTGTTAGAAATGTTAAAACATTAAATTTTAAATAAAAGTTATAAAAGATATTACACAAAAAATTACTTAAAATTATTGAGAGGAATAGGATAATGTATTTTTCTAATAATTCTTATCTCAGAATTTTATGTATTTTTAGTCAAATAAATATAATATTTATAAACATTGTCACATTTATAGGTTTTATTTCATTATGTATACTATTATTAATTTTAAGTATTGAATCATTTAATGTGTAGTATTCTGAAAAATCTGATTAGATGAGTTTCATTTATATATAAGGGGGCTACAAATTATTTAGACCTTGAATTATAAAATTATTTTTGTAAGAAAGAACACAAAAAAATCAAAACCATCGCTCATTATCAATTTTGCTTTCAATCTTCACTTAAAGGTATGTATTACAGCTTCTAAATTTGTATTTGGTTGTATTTTGAAATGGTTATTTAAAAGTATCTGTACTGATTGTAGATGATTGTATATATGATAGATGGTATATATAGTAAATGCCCTGTGATTATCAATACAAATATGATTTTTTAAGAGCTTTAATTATGTTGACCGTTTTGATACTCATTTTAAAGTCAGGAAATGACAATATATTAGCAATTTTGAAGAAGAAGTAAAACACATTAAGTTATTAGTATACATTTAGGATTTGGGTCTTGTTAAGCAAGGGCAGAATCAACTTAAAGCAGAACAACAAAGTAGGGTTAAATGCAAATCCAAAGCAGCAATCAACCGGGGGAATTTATTTTTAGAATTTTAATAGAAAGAGTCAGAGCAGTGTATATAGTGGAATATGGTGTTTTTATATATGAATCAGCTTTATAATATTGGAGGTAATAAATTATTTTAATTTTTCCAAATTTTTTATAAGATCCTATCCTATAATAACTTTTTGCATCATCATTAATAAATTATTTTAATTTTGTTACTCATTATGATAATTGCCAATTAAATATTTTTATCAATTTAATTATAGGTCCTTTTATAAGACCTCATCCAGCAATATGGAGAATAGTATTTGGTAAGCCAATTATTTCTTTTGTACTATTAGTTTCAATTAAAGTTGTGCAAAAAAAAGTTTAATGTCAGAGTTATACAAAATCAATGGATGACATAACTCTTGTACATTAAGAATAATAAATCCATACATTTTGAGATGGCTTGACTATAGGATGCCTCCTTTTGTAAATGTAAATAATTGCATTTTTTCTCAACTTTATGAAAAGGATTAGAAAATGCATATTGCATTATGAAAAAAGAGCAATTTTAACAGAATTAATTAAATTTGATGGTATTAATTTTTTCAGGAATTTTAATTGTTCCACTGTAAGGTAAATGTGAATAAATATTTTGTTTTATAGTATTAAATATAGCTATTTATTTAATATAATAAAACAAAATATTTGTGTACTAAGTTTCCTTTAATTTGATTTGTTGCTTGAAATATAATCAATGCATCCATTTGAAAAAAAAATAAAATATTTTGCTGCTCTATTTTTCTTTTTTATTTGATATTCTTGATAATATATAAATTTATATAACATTTTTCTTTAGCTCGAAACATTTTCTTTGTTATCCCTTCAATTAATGATGTTTAAGAAAATAAATAAAAAACTTAAGTGTTGTAATTTTTATGTTTCACAAGCTTTTTTTCGCTCTTCAGATCGTGTTCTTTTTTTTTTTCTTTTTTTTCTTTTACTTTTTGAAAAAAAAAATAGAAAAAGAGTGCATAGTGGGAGTTGGTCTTTTTCTTTTTCGAAGATGCACTTATATTTTGTAAAATAATATGTTTTTTCAGAATGTGTGTAGTTAATTGGCTAATAATGAAAAAATACTTTTCTCTTGTGATTTTTTTCCCCGCAAGATTCTATCAGTTTGTTTTCTAATTTTAAGATTTGTTATCCTAATTTCATTTTACACTTCTGGAATTTTCAACTTCTTCCTTTAATTTTTTTTTCTGTTTACTCATTGTATTTCAAATTGTCAAATTTGATAAAAAGTCATCTATATTATGAATGAAATTTTTTTTATGGGATATTAAGTGCGTTTACTTAATCAGGACAAGGGTTTGCATTTTGTTTGGAAAAAACCTGTTTTTTGTGGGATGCTGAAAAAAAAATGGAAAAACTGCAGGAAATAGAAGAAACTAAAACAATAATTAATAAATGAATAGTAGTTCAAAATTTAATCTAGTGCAAAAAAAATTTATTTTTTAAAAATTTTTTTATTTTATTTCTTTATTTTAATTTTATACCGAATTTTAAAATCTGTATAGCTTATAAGAATTTATTTTGAATTTTGATTTATGTTAATTTTATTTCCTAAATATTTATGTAAATTTACATCTAGATAAATATGTATACAGTAGACGCTGCTTAATGTGATCACGGTTAATGTTATCAATCGTTTAATGTTATCAAAATAGCTTAGTCCCGTCCGCTTATATCAAAATACATTGAAAAATCATCGTTTATTGTAATCAAATGTTCGTTTATTGTTATCAGTTTATAGGTAAATTTTATTTTCCTGAAATCAATAAAAACAAGAAGGAAAACTTTTTTTTGTGTTTTGTGAAGTGTTTCCTGAAACTTACCAAAAGTCCAAACGGGGCTCGTATATTATCTTTTAAACACGTGTTATTAGGAGAAGATAAATGTCGTGTTCTTACCACCAAACACCACTTCTTTAATTCAACCGTGTGACCAGGGAATTATCCGCACCTTGAAGGCATATTACAGAAAGGAAATGCGTTCAAGGATCTTAGAAAATATGGAAGACCAAGACGCTGAAGATCTTAATGCGAACGCTCTAGCCAAAAAAACAAATGTTTTGGATGCCATACATTTGTTAACAATGTCATGGAATAATGTCTCGGAAAAAACAATTCGAAATTGTTTTAGTCATGGAGGATTTTGTCAACCAGAGGACAACAATGCTGCTGTAATGAAAGAAATGGAAGACGTTTTCAATCCCCCGCCCGATATGAATGCTGAGGATTTTGAAGCATGGATGGAGATCGACGAGAAGGTTGAGACTTCTACTTCGTTAACTGATGAGGACATTTGCGAAGCCGTATGTGTCAAAGATCCAGCTTCGTCACAAGATTCTGATGCCGATGATGAACCCGAAAGTGCTATCGAGGACAAAATTCCGACGCCTGCTCAGATGAGGGAGGCACTTCGAGTCTTACGGCTAGGTGTGCAAAACAAAGCCGACGCGGAACACTTTCATAAACATTATGATTATGAGCGATTCGTAAATTACTTGCTTTGAAGAATGCTAAGCAATCGACAATTGATGATTTCTTTTTCAGTTAATAATTAACCTTTTGTATTTTGTATTGTTTTCTGCAGTTCTACTAACTAATGCTAACTACTAAGTATACTAACTAATTTTTTTTCTTTAGTGTACATTAATTTCTATTAAATGCAATAGAGTTTTACAGCAACAACTCCTAATTTAAAATAATTTTTATTTTAATACGTATGTAAAAAAAATCATTTTTTATCTTAAATTTTTTTTCGTTTACTGTATTGTAATCAATCGGTTATTGTTATCAAATCACATTTGTCCCAATGTGATCACATTAAGCGGCGTCTACTGTACTTAGATACTATATGAATATGTATTATTTTTATTATAAATTATTTATAATTTCCCGTAAAAATATAATTTGTATAAAAATATTTATCGATAACTACTTTTAGTATACTATGTAATAATTGTTTCACTATTGATATACAGTATTTTGTTATGAAAATTAGCATTTTGTTTGTAATTATGAATACAATGTGTGATTTCTTGTTTAATATAATGTTATATATACTATAATCTTTTTGTTAAATATTAAAAGAAATTGCAGTTAAGAAATTTATTTTTCTTTCCAATTTTTAATTTTCACTTATTTAAAAATAATTTATTAAATGGATTAGAAATAATGCTATTATTTAAGCTATGTAGGAATTATAAACTGTTCAAAATTTGAATTTAACAGAAGTTTTCTTCCCCTTAGGGTAGAAGAAACTTATTTCCTCCCATAGTGATTTTTTTTATGACTTTTTCTACCATGGAAAATTAATTAATCTTTATTAATTCTTGTAATTTTGTCATAGGTGTAAGTGTAATATATCTTCTTAGTTTGTTGTTTGTTCTGTTCCAAAGATATAGCACCATCAAGAATATAATGTACTGGTTTTACCCAGACCTCTCACAGTTCAAAATTGACCAGGAGAAGGTGAGTTGCATTCTCTATTATTTTACACTTGTTTTAGCATTCCTGTTTTTGAAATGATGCAGAGGCTTTTATTATGCAACAGCATTACTTATATTGGTCCATATCATTTGAGTCCTGTTACCATTTCAGTCTCATTCATTCAGTTACTTAATTTGATTAATCTATTTCGATGTAGACATTCCATTCCCTCCCATTCCTTCCTTTTTTTTTATTACAGTGACTATGTTTCAATGGTTCTAAATATGTTTTTTGTTTTGTTTATTAAATTATTTATTCATTATTTTATGTGACAGAAAATGATAAATTTTAAATAGTTATTAAGTACTTAAAAATTACTCAGTGTGGAATCCAAATTATTAACATTTACGAGGGTTTGCTCACAATTTTCTCATGAATTAGCAATAAATTTTTTTAAGTTTCAATGAAAGCTATCCTTTTTTTGTTCCATTATATATATAATCATGTTAATTATTCCGTAATAGTGTGTTATGATTTTTGTATTTATTTGGATTTTACAACGGTCGTTGAACAGTCGACCCAATTTAGGGTTTACGACTACCAATGTTCAACTCTGTAGCTGTGTAATTTTGAACCCAATGCAGAAGACAAGGGAACCCCTAGATCAAGTATTAGGGGAAATTTGCCTTTCATGAGAACTTTTTGATGGAACTAACCCGTATTTGCCTTACACAGAGAGGAAAACCATGAAAACTTTCCACGCTTAGCCTGACTGCAACCCATGACCCACCTACCACTGAGGATATTTCTTCATCAGCACTGTGGTCGGTGCAAGCTGGGAGCGGAATTTATGTCGGCCTGCCATCGCTGGGATTCGAACCCGGGTCAACTCATTGGCAGGTGAATGCTCTGTTCTCTGAGCCACCATGATTCAATGCATTATGATTGTAAAGTTTGTTGCATGCATCTATACATACACATTTAATTCTAGCAAAAAATTCCAACCTAAGATTACGTTTGTAAATTAACAGATAACTTACAGAACATTTTAAGACAGATAACTTACTTATTAGCTCTTAAATTATTGGTTTCGGGTTATTAAAAATAGGTAATCATTCTATGTTTATTTGCAGGAGTATGGAGTTAATTGTTCTGACATCACTGTTGAGAGAGTCTGGGGTCACGTGGATGTTTTTGCCTTTGGTCATTTGTTTGGATGGGCAATGAAGGCATTACTTGTGAGGCAATATTGTATATGCTGGACTATAAGTATCATGTGGGAAATAACTGAAGTAATCTTTCTCTCTTTTTCAAAGTATTATTCTAAATTCATTATTAATTTATGTTAAACATACAATTTTTTGTTAAAAAGGATATCAAATTTATTTTCTTTAAAAGAAGTAGAACTGCTTTTAAATTCAATATATTTATCTAAAATAGTTTTATCGAAGGGACTATTTTAGATGACTTTGTTTTTTCTTCTTCTTTTTATGTATTTAAAAATGCATTTTAGCTAAATTTTAGTCATTTTTTGTTATGTTTAATGTCTTGAAGTTTATATGCTTATAAAATGTAAATTTTTGTGATAGTTGTTTGCTGATATTTCTTTAATAAATTTCATTAAATTATTAAACTCACAAAAACGTCTTTTTAGTTTATCTTCAAAAAAATTTAAGAAATATTTTACTTATGATATTTTCTAGAAGACATTTGCTTGATGTTGTAGGTTTGAAGAAATAAACAATACAGCATTTTGTATTCATTGTTTAATTGTATTCATTTCCTTTAAATTTTACTAATTCTATTTTATGCAGTTCTATAATCATCAATCTTTCATACATTTATCTTTTCATGTGAAAACATTATTAAATACATTATTGGACATATTCTACTATGAGCAGACTGAAGAAATTCTTCACTTTAGATATAAATTACATTCATCTGCTTATTTTATTTTTATTTTGCAACTGTTGTTGAACAGCTGACCCTATTTAGGGTTTATGTCTGTTGACGTTCAACTCCATTGCCTTGTAATTTTGAACCCAAGCCAGAAAACAAGGGGATCAAGTATTGGAAGAAATTTGCCTTTATGGTGGACTTTTTGGTAGAACTAACCCTCATTTGCATTACATGGACAGGGAAACCATAAAACCTCTCACAATTAACCTGATGGCAAGGGGGCTCTAATCCAAAATCCAACCACCACTGAGGATATTTTATGTCAGCACTGTGGTCGGTGTGAGCCAGGTGCGGAATTCGTATTGACCAGAAATCGACAGGATTAGAACCCAGTTCATCTCATCGGAAGGGGAGCGCTCTATCCTCTGAGCAACCATGGCTCTTCATCTATTTATTTATAACCGTCGTTGAACGACCGACCCAATTTTGGACGTTACATTTACTAATGTTCAATGAATATATATATATATATACGAGGCCTGTCTAAAAAGTATCCAACCTTAATTTTCCCCGCGCAAAGTAGTGATTCTAAGGCTGCGCCATAGTGCACGGTGGAAGGAGGGACCTTAATGGACATGTTTGAATTTTTTTCACCGCATTCGCTTGTGCAAGTCGCTGACTGGTGGTCGCCAAGTAAGATGCTGTTCGTAGTGTTCGTCGGATTTAGTTTTCTCGCAAGATGACTGAATGAATTGAGCAAAGATACTGCATCAAATTCTGTCAAAAGCTTGGCCAAACAATTCGTAAGATTCAGCAGGTGTTTGGAGAAGAAGCGATGGGTGTAACACAAATTAAAGAGTGGTTCAACCGATTCAAGGACGACCACACATCAGCGGAGAGTGAGCAGCGTTGTGGCAGGTCCCAAACTGCTCAGAGTGCAGCTAATGTTGAGAGGTTGCGAAATTTGGTGTTGGCAGATCGTCTTTTGACAGTGCGGGTGATTGCAGAAGAAGTTGGAGTGAGTAAAGATTCTGGACATGCAACTTTGTGTGAAGATTTGAAAATGAACNGATATAGTTTATTCATTTATGAATATATATATATATATATATATGTATTTATATTCTGTTTACTTTTATCTCCATAGCATGAGACTTTTTCTCGAGAAGTTTTTGTGATAGCTGGAATGTATAATCTTAAATTCAGTTCTTAAAATAAAATGAGCAAATAGTATCTTTAGTTTGTGTAAAACACATATACTTTATTCTTACACATATACTTTATGTGTATAACACATATATTTAGTTTATATTGTAAAACACATATACTTTATTCATCAAGTCTTTGTTTAAGAGAAATTTGTATGATTTTATTTCCATAGCAATTCAATTCTTAGTATGGAGGAGTTTTGTGATAGAGGGAATATGCAATGCTATGTTTATTTACTTTTTATTGGTTTAGTTTTGTGATGCAGATTAGGGTAATAAATATAAATGTTTTATTTTGTGCAGGTGGTGTTCTCACATCTTCTTCCCAATTTTGAGGAATGTTGGTGGGATGCGATGATTTTAGATGTCCTCGTTTGCAATGGTTTGGGAATATACCTGGGAATGGCTGCTTGCCGTTATTTTGAAAATGAAACTTACGAGTGGGAGAGCATAAAGTAAGCGTCAACTGATTCTTGCTTTGTCACTTAAATTTCTGTCAAATAGCTATAATTTGAAGTAAAATAACTTAATTTGTACTATAACTCAATTTTTTTCATGATATCATGACCCCTTGTCTTTAATTTCATGCTAATTATTTAATTACCCTTTTATTTTTAATATCTAATTATGCAAAAATTTTCATGAAATCTTGACCTTTAATACTTATTTCTGGATTTTTTCATGAAGTCTTGACCCTGTTATCTTTATTTTCATGTTGTTTGTTCTCAACTTTTTCCTGCAATTTTAACCCACTTATCTTAACTTTCATGATAATTCAGAGTTCCTCCTCTGAATAAAAAAAAAGGTAGGACGCTTCTATTTTGAAAAGGGCACTTAACACCGTACACCCACTTAACACCGTTTATCACTGTAAAAATTTATCAAAATGTGTAATATTATATAATAACTGAATTTTACCCTCAACAATTTTTAAAATATCCTCTTTACTGTTTTATGTGTTTATTTCAAAAAGTTATTCTCTCTCGTTATCAAAATAAGAGAAAAGTGAAAATAATTAAAGGCATGCTACAAGGCAATATCTGTGCAAATATTTTTTTTTCTTCTTCAAAAAATTTTAACTAACGAAAAATGATTAATTGATAAACCACTTAAAAGCTTTTTTCTATAACTTAAACTGAAAATTACAAGAAGATGAACATTTAATGGTGTGTTTTTTTTAAAAAAAGGTATTTATTTAAAAAATAGTTTTAAAATTTAAAATAACTTAAAAAATTTTTTAATATCCTCCTTCCAAAAAGAGTTACTTATAAAAGTTTAACCAGTTGAAAATAATCTTACCCAAGTAAATATTTGTAATAGTAGTTAGAATTAAACCTATGAACACAAATAATTTTACTAGTGTGTAATTATTATTTAAGCAGTGAATTGAACTTTTTTTGAAATTGATTATGAATCAAAAGGCAATGTTTTTAAGGGATGGTGGCTTATTTTTACACGAAGGCAAATAGGGCTCATTTCCTTTAATCAAAGGGCAAACAGGATGGACCCCTCTTCAAAAATAATTAGGGTGAACATTAAAAATTCTTTGCTACTTTTTTTTTTTTTTGTAAAGTTGACTGGGATCTTTTATGGCTGAAAAAACGACCACGGTCAAACAGTTTTATTTTTTTAAAATTTTATTTATTTTTTTATAGTGTTTGCTAAATTTCTATTTCTTTTATTTCTAGAACAATTCAACTTAATTTCGATTAGTTTCGAAAAGTTCTGCTCTCACCCATAAGACGATGATGATGACTCTCTTTCCCATAAGATCACCCGAAGANCAAACAGGTTAGAATTTCTCATCTCTTTTTTTTACAATCCATGCAAAATAGACTTTACCTTTCAGAACAAGTAAAATCAGAGTAAGAGAGAGGGATAACTTCTGTATGGAATGGGTCAACTTGTTTTCTTTTGTCTGTATTGTTTTGAATTGTGAAATTTAATACTTTAGTTTATTGCATGTAAATTTAGAAATAAAATAACATAGATATCTGCATTTATCTTTAATGCACTAAGTACTTAACTTGCTATTAAAGTTTGTAGGGAAGAAATATTTGTTGCTAAATATGTCTAAGCAAAGATTAAAAACTCTTTTATCTTGAGAGATGAGTGCTTCCTTGCATAAAAGGGGCACTTACTTATCACCATTAAAATTTATCAAGTTATGTAATATTATGTAATAAATGAATTCGATCTTCAATTTTTAAATTATCCTCTTATACTGTTATATTTCACAACGTAATTCTCGCTCATTATCAAAAAATATATAAATTTTAAGCTTTTGAAAAATAATTAAAGGCAAGCTCTCTGTATAATTTTTCTTCAAAAAAAAGGTCTCTTCATTGGAACCGATGGTTAAGAAAACAACGTTGTCCTGAAAAAAAAGTTGTGTTTTTAAAGGATGGTGGCTCATTTTTAGAAAAAGTGCGATGAAGGATTAAAGGGCAGGTTTATAAGGATTAAAGGGCAGGCGGGGCCCTTCAAAAAATACTTAAGGAGAACACTGCTTTTATGAATGATGTGGATAGTAATCCATTCTTAAAAAAGATGATGTAGCTCTGAACAGGGAAATTGCCCGTTCTCAATTTTTACATGACCTTTATAAGTATTTTAGTCGAAACTAATAATTTAGTTTGCTTCAGTTTTTTTATTCAACTTCAAAAGGGAAACTTCCTCGACTTTGTAAAAATATGTGCATTGATGTTTTATATAATATAGATTGTATGAAACTGTTTTTGTATTTTATTACTTTTGATAAGTGATATATTTTTTTTATTTGACTAATTTATTCTATTGATTTTACTTTTTATAACTGCTAATTTATTCTATTGATTTTTATTATTTTTTTTAAATTGACCATTATAATTTCAATTTAAATTACTAATTAAAATTGCTTATTTTTTTTAAAATACCAATGATATTATTTTAGGTCAATTCCAAGTGCTACTGGAAAAATTCGCAGGGCTATTTTGCAGTTTACGCCTGCCAGGTAATTCGGCATTATATACATTTATTTAAGTTTATTGCTTGTATTTAAAGTCAGTCTGTTTTTTTACATGTGTCAATGCTTGATTTAATGACCCCTGTTCCTCCTGTGAAAACGAGCTTTATAACATGAGGTTGTTATATTGTGAATGCACAAAAATACTATAATTATTTACTCATAGTTAAAATTGAATAGATTTTAACAAAGCATTGATTTATTTAAATTAGGTAACTTTCATAATAATTAACAGTAAAGCACAATTTTCTTTCTTTGTGAATAGAAACTTTTGAAAGTGCACTTTATTTGTGAAAAATTCGTTCGAAACATGCCCTTGGTTTGTACTAGATATTTTCATTAAATGACACACTTCAAGATAAAAGCAACGTTTTATCTGAAAAATAAACCTCACAAGGAGACTCTAACTTTCTGTGTTACACTGAGAAGAAAATCTCCTCCTTTGGTTTGCCTGACGGCAAGGGGACTCTACCCCATGATCCGTCTACCACTGAGGATATTTTTACGTCATCACTGTGGTCGGTGCAAGCCAGATGCGGAATTTGTATCGACCAGCCATTGCTGGGATTAGAGTCGAGTTCACCGCAATGGAAGGCGAGCCATTAGGGCTCAACATTTCGGAATTGGAATTAATAAAATATTCAAATAAAAAGAGTGTAATATGCAAACTAATCTATATTTTACTAAGTATAGATCAGGCCCACCAAGGTTAAGAATCTACAGCAATGATTCCCAAATGGTAATTTCTCTGGTCATTGATGGTTTGCAGCAAAAACTATCGTAACTAATGTTCATAATTTCTGTATTAAATTCTTACAGCTTTTACAATAAAAATGGCATTTGTTTTATTCCTCTATCATCTTTTACCGAGATTTCTAATTTTGAAATCAGACGGTCCTTTATTGAGCACGCTGTTTATCAATTGCACTTTTAGATAAGTATATTAAAAGTATGTTTTTTTAATGAATTTCTTTTTCATGTCTTATAGTTGGACTCATGTGAGGTGGCTGGATCCTAATTGCACTTATATGAGGTTTTTCGCTTTAGGTCAATTAGTGTTATTTTGGCTTGTAGGTAATTTTTTTTTCAGTTTTGTTTAAAATATTACAATTGATAGTTTTGTATTGGTAATGTTTATTATTTGTTAAATTCATGCAGTGAAATTTCATTTTATATTATTTTTGTATTAAATCATAGCTAACTTATGATAAGAAAACATTAAATCTAAATTTAAACTACAATCATAGAATTTCTTCACTTTACTCATAAATTTTACTAGATGTAATGAAAATTCTAAGAAAGTTGAGTACTAATTAATGTAACGTATACTAATTAATTTAAAACTACAACAAAAGCTACACACTTGTTAAACCAAAACAAAAATTGCTTTTATTTTACTTGTTCTTCTGATAAAATTTAATTTTCATGCTTGGCAGTGGGCTAGTTTATTTGTTAATGAAATCAATTACTTTTACAAAATATTGCTAATTTTCAAACAAATAAAATTTTTTAGCAAAGAATTTTAGTAATGATCAAATTAAATTTTTTAATAATGAGGCAATTTTAATTGTTAGTATGAAATTTATTTTACATTTTATTGTTTGTTAAACATTGATTTTCTAGTACTCCTCTTTTTTTCTTCGGGTAAACATAGGTCCCTAGTGATCATTCCATTTTTTTGTTTCTTGTCAGACTTGGTTTATAACAGTGTTTTATACATATTAAACTTTATGTTTAGCTAAGTACAGTCATTTAAATTTAGCATTCATATTAATCTATAATTAAACATATTGTATAATTAATATTAAATGAGCCTTTTTTGTATATTTTAATAATTTCAGTACATATATTTTGTAATTAAGTAATATATTGATGTCTCTTACCCATTATTTAATTCCTAATACAATAACAGTTCCCATTTTTTTTTTTAACTAACCAGAAATTTAAAATTTTTTCCCTGCATTGTAGATCATTAAGACGAACTGTTGTAATATATTTGTTTCTTCTTTAGGTGACAGAATTGAACACCTTCTTCATCAAACACATTTTTGAAATCCCGCCTGGTCATCCATTAACAGTTGGAAGGATTGTTCTTATAGGTCTTATTGTAGCTCCAACATTAAGGTGTATATCTAGATTCTTAAGGCTATTTTTTTTGTACATAGGACCCTTGTTTATAGCTACCAACTCTACTAGATTTTGTCAGATTCGCCCAGTTTTTGAACATTTTAAAAAATTCCCTTAATTTAAGTGAGTTTCTTAAATATAATCCCTATTGAAATAGAATTTTTACACATTTTATTGTTTGCTTAAATATTTAAGTAAGTTTGATTAATACTTAATGAAGCGAGCCTCATTTATACTCACCAGCTTAAAACTTTTCTTTTTTTTGTTCTAAGATTTTCCATTTATTTTTATTCAGAACTCCCTTCTTAAATTAATTAAAGAACCTTTTAGCTATCAACAATAAATCACTTGTCTATTACTATTCAAATTTATGAGTTAACAGAATAAAAAAAACATTTTAAGTTCATTTAACGTCAATTATAAATGGAAAATATGGTATACCATGTATAGTTATTGCTGTGACAACGTTTTTGTATTTTTATCACAATAAAAAGAACCTAAAATTCTCTATAGGTAAAATATTAAGCAAATTAGGCAACAATTATCACAAAATTTGCATTATTTCGTAAAATTTACTTGATTTTTTCCTATCCATGTTGGCAGCTATGCGTGAACTATGGCATGATTAGTCTTTTTCAGTTGTGTAAATTATTTTTGAAACATAGTGTAGGAGGGATAGGTAACAACTATGTCAACCTTCATGTATGAAACGGTACCCTGACATAGAAACGAGTTATATATACTAATGAACTGGAATTGTATTTTTGTTGTGATACACACACTACAGATAAATATTGAATGGTCATTTTACTTTAAGATTCATTTTTGATAGACTTATACCGTGAAACCTCTCAGGAGTGACCACTCTCTGTTCCATAGGAAAATGGTCATTGATGGAGGTTGGTCATTCTTAGAGGTTCCCTCCATTAACTGTGATTGGGGAAATGTTATTGATTGTGCATGAATTTTTGCAAACGATTTTAATTTTAGTCAGTATAATTTTCTTGGGTGCGGAAATGACACTTGCGTTAGCGTCGTGAAAACCAGATCAATGAATAAAATTTAGTGTCATTGGAAGTGACCTGTACTTATACAATTAGGTGTTAAAATAAATTTACCAATTATGAATGATAGAGCTACTTTAAATAGATAAGCAATTATGTTTTTTGTTTCAATTTGCATTTAATTTTATATCATAAAAATTCGTAAGCTTTAAGTAATAATAAGGTTGTTTGAAATGCTTAGTTTTTTTTAAATTTTTTTTTTTTAAATTAACTTTCAGCTCTAAAAATAAATCAATGATAGCATCACCTTTATTGCACTTTGACTACAGCATGAGATTGTCGATCTTTTTTAGAGATCGTCAAAAAGCCACTTACAAATATTTTGAATACATTTAAATTTATTTATTTGTTTTGTTAATGTTTTTGGTTTTGCTGTTTTTTGTTTGTTTTTGTTTTCACTTATTTGATCTTTTCTGCATTTGGTGTGGAGATTTGCCCGGTCGCTGGGGGAGATTCTTAGGTCTTTCTTAAAGGTTTTCTTCCGCATATAGAAAAAATTCTGTGGCTCCCAAAAGTGGGTGTAAATAAAAGTGGTTGCTACACAGAGGTGGTTTCACTGTAATTAACTACTGAAAAACTAGACTAAAAACAAATCTCAAAATAAATTTTATAAAGCTGCTTTTTATTTGTATTTATTTTGTTTAATATACCTAATATTAGTCAAAATAAATACAAATAAAAAGCAATTATTACGATAATTTTGATTTGCTTTTTATTTTGACTAATAATACCTAAGAAGCGTTTGTATTAAATTTTTGCTTTATTCTTAGTTTGCATTCTGAAGATCTACAGGAATAAAATTTTTTAAATATCATTTCAAAAGTGCTTTAATTTATAACACACTAATTACGTAATAAGTTTGTTTTTTGAAACTTTTTGATTTTAATGAAGAAAGCCAATAAAAAATGCCAAACAATTTCATATTAAAATGCTCTGTAAATTTTTAAGTCTAAAATTTCTTTAAAAAGAATAATTTAATTTAAATTAACATAATATTTAATTTAGTTTCCAAAAAAATCATAGTTTTAATGTAAAAAAACAAACAAATTTGATTTAATTTGAAAGGGTGTGATTAAATAATCAAATGTACACATTGTGTGTTAATTGTGCTGAAAATTAAAATGCTTCATTTTAGGCAGTACTATAGTTATGTAACTGATCCAAGATGTGAACGAGTTGGAACCCAATGCTGGGTGTTTGGGTGAGTTTGAATTTGATTTGTTGTTGTTGTTTGAATTTCTTTTTTTAGTGAAATAAACCCAATTTGTGTATGTTCCTGTAAGTTAAAGTTAATTTATTTTTACCTTTGTTACTGAGCATTAAAATTAAAGTCTCTTATTGCTTTTTAAAAAAAATGATATTTTTGTTTTTAAACAAAAAATGAAAATGTTCTTATTGGATGTTAACTGAAACATATGTTTCAATCAAACACTCAAGAATATATTTTTAATTTATCAAAAATTAAACCAAATATTTAATCGAAAGCTAAACCGGATATTTAATCAGCAATTAAATTAAGGGGAAAGTAAACTAAATAAAAACTAAGATTATTCTTTAATCAAGAATCAGAAAGATGTTTTATAAATTTTTAGAATGATTGTAATTTCAATGACCTGTTTATACATTTTACATTTCATTGTATGTAAAATAATAAATAAACGTTTCATATTTTATAATTATTTTAATTTTAGAGGCCTATAAAAACTATTACCTCTTTTAGGATTTAAAAAGTTACCCAGAATCAAATACTTAAGAAATCATTTGGTTCTATTCCAATAAACATTTCTTTATGAAATCTTTAAAAGAAATATTTAGCAATTTTAAGGAGTTAACATAATAGAACAATTATTGAACTATAAATAAAGAATTTTTTTTCTCCTTTCCTTTTGTAAAATATGTTTTTTTCTTTCTTCGGTTGCCAGTTGTGTTAACCGTGTTTAATTTTTTTCAATGTTAAATGTTTGTAAATTTAATTCTGAAGTATTTTAAACTCTTAGTCTATCATAGCTGTGTCTAGATTTTTTTTTTACTGTAAGTTATTTATTTTAATTTTTTCTTAAGTATTTTCAAGAATAAATTAGATAATTAAACAAAAAAATCTTAAAATAGAAATACAAAAATGTATGTGAAATCCATTGCAAATAATTGAAAAAAAGTAAATGAAATTTGAGCAAAAAAAAAGTTTATGCCTGAAGCATATATTTATATAGAATATTATCAACGTTTCAATAAGAATATTAATGCACAATTTTTTTAAAAAATTGTTTGAATTTTAATTCATATGACTATGGATCAAGTTGTGTAATTTTAAATCGTGTAAATACGAGTTGGAATGTTTGGACGGTACTTAATTTTTAAAAAAAAAACTTGACAAAATATGAATCTTGATGATTTTAAAACAAGTGAATATGAATCGCGATGTGCAGTTTTAAATCACCTGAATACAGATAACAATATGTAATTTTAAGCTGCATGAATACAAATAGCGATGTGTAATTTTAAGTCAGGTTTACGTTGGTAGAAAAAAAAAGCGTAAAGAATTAAGATTTTTTTTGGAAATTCGAAACTTTCCTTGAAAAAGCAGAATTTTATTTTTATTGAACTAAAATAAAATGTGCAATTGTGTATAAAAATTCATCCCTGTATTTTACTCTGTCACTCATTTAAATGTCCAAATACAGTCAAACCCCGCTATAGTGAACCTTCAAGGGACCGAAATTTTGGTTCACTATAACCGGGAGTTCACTATATCCGTTACCCAGGCAATTTAACTAATGGTCCCCAAACTCCTCTGTTTATTATACATTATTCAAATAAATGACTGAAAAATAGTATGTAGTAGCAAAAAATTTATTATTTTTCATTACTCTTAGTTCTACAAGTGTTCGCCTTGTGAACACTTCCCGATTTTCAAATAATTTTTCCGGAATTTCTGTTACTCCGCTTTTTAAACCTGCCTAACCTGCTATTCGAGCACGTAAAAGTATTCTCATAAAGTCGCTTAGCAAATTCATCGACATTTGTCCAGATACTGGAAGGTTGCGGCTTCTTTGAATGGTAAACAACTTCTGTAATGCTTCTACAACATCCTTGTGACCTGCTTTTCGCAACTTTTTTTCTGCCATCTAAATTTTTTCATGAGCAGAAATTATTAATTGCCAATTTTGCCATATGTTACAAACTGCAGATTTGTATAGTTTATATTCCCTGCAAATATCAGCTTGATTGCATCCATTTTCAAATTTTCTGATTCTGCCCATTTTATCATCAATCGAGAACGTTTTACGTTTACTGCTCGCCATAGTTAAATTTGAGACACTTGTTTGCAGGATTTTTTTTGCCTGCACCGAGAGCAAAAAGGAGTTGAAATGATGGCCTTATCAACACATGTTAGTGTCCAACCCTTTCACCAATAATGAATAATTACTCATTCCCTCTGACAAAAAATGCATATTGGTCCCACTGACACTGATTTTAAAGTAGAAATTTCCAAATTATTTTTAAAAAAAATTGAAAAAATCATTTGGAAACATAAAAAAGTTCATTATATCCAACTTCCTCACATTTTTGGTTCACTATATCCACAAAAAATAACATTGTACGTGTATAGCAAGGCACGGAACTGAGCATTTCGTTCACTATATCCGGGAGTTCACTATAAACCATGTTTACTATAGCGGGGTTTGACTGTAGTTTAAAACACAGGTGTGTTTCATTTTTTTATTGTAAATTATTTATTTAACTATTTTAAACACTGTCATACATTTTAATGTGTAAATATTTTGAAGCACACTTTTTTTTAAGCTCTGCCACTTTTTTAAATGTATAAATTTATTTTTTAGGGCAATAACTGTGACAGAAGCCATAATATGCATCAAATTTGGTCTCGAATTGTTTGCTCGTGCAAAAATAATGAATATCCTTACGTGGTTGTTTACTATGGTGAGGCTGAACTTTTGAATTAATTTGTTTGATTTAATATAAAGTGAAACAGCAATAATTTTACCTTTACTTTCCTTTTGCTTATTTCAGTTTGTAATGACCTTCGCTTGTCTGGCCTTTTGTATTTACTATGAAACCAACCTAAGAAGCGAAATTGTAAGTTAAATAGTAAGAATTATCAGTTTTTTATTTTATTTTATTGCATACACACAGTAATGCTCTATTATGGCTGCAAGTTTGTTGCATGAAAAAATACCAAAACTCTTGGAAAATTTGTAAAACAATTCTGAATTTTGCAGGAACATAAATTTTTTTTTCTAATATATTCACTGAAAAGCCTAGAAGTGGTACAAATAATAAAATAAAACCTAAAAAGTAATTAATTTTAATTTTATGAATTATATTAATATCCTAATTCAAATGAACAGAATTTGGGAAAAAAAACTATTTTTCATTTTTAATCAAATATTTATTTGTCAGCATTTCCACATGTTTTTTTTTATCATGAAGGATAGAGAAAACTCATTGCAAATTTCAAAAGAACATTTTATGTTGCACATAAATATTGAGCTAGAGTTTGCATATCATCTCTTTTCATTTCTTTATTTTGCAAAATTAAAAGGATTTTTTTTTCTTTTTAAAGTTCTTATAGTTTCTATAAATACCTACAAATTTCTACAATTACTTATAAAAAAAAATACTTATTTGCAGCTTTTTTTATTGTAAATTACTTTTTGTTTAGGTTGACTCCAGCTGATGCAATATTAATATTTTCATTTAAACTGACAGAATTTGGGTAAAATATATAGTAAATTATTTTGCATCGTTAATCAAATATTTGTTTGCCAGTATTTCCACATGTGTTTTTAACACAAAGGATTTAGACATTTCATTGCAGATTGCACAAGAACATTTCATATAAATATTATGCGAGAGTTTGCATATCATGTCTTTTTTCCTTTATTTATTCAATTTGCAAAATTAAAAGGATTGTTTTCCTTTTAAGGTTATGAAGGTTAAGGCACTTCAATTTTGCAATGTCAATGTTGTCAGTATAGTGCACTGACTGCTATTACTTCCCCAGGTCTGAAGCTTGGTAAGATTAAATCCTCCATCAGGGCCCGTGCTAAGGATTTCAAATTATTAGCCAGTAAATGAGTCAAATATCTAAAGTATTCGGCAATTTTCAAGTCTTCTTCAAATGCATTCTTCTGATTCATTTTTTCCCATAGAAAACTATTTTGCAGTAGTTAATTTCACAAATGCATTATTAATATCTCTGGCTAAAGATGGACAACAGTTATACACTAAGTAGCCAAATTATTATGAACACCCCCCTCAATATACTGTTGAACCACCTTTAGCTGTAATACTGCATGAATTCTTGGAATAGATTCTATGAGATGTTGGTAGGGGGAATTGGACCCCATATCCGATGAACTTAACTTTTCAGTCCCGTCAAATTGGACTGTGCTAGATGGATTGAGATCTGGTGATTGTGAGGGCCAACAAAACATGGTAAAGTCATCGTCATGTTCTTCAAACTGTCTGAGGACAATGCGAGCTGTATGACAAAGAGCTTTGTCTTGCTGAAAGTATGCGGCTACTCTCGAACATTTCACGAAAGCAGTCATTTTGCTGATACTAGTTCCAACACCTCAAGTGCCTACAATCATCCCGCATTCAAACTCTGTTTTTTGCCCATATCTCCGCGCATAGCACAGTGCAATTGATGGTTCACTTGCAGCTATCTTGCCGTCTATCGGCGACACCGTGATGCAATAGATTATTTTGCATAAATAATTTGGCCACTCAGTGTATAAAAATAGCATACGATTCCTAAAGGGTCCCAAAAGAGAAAGAATAGGGTAAAGACGGGAGATTTTTTTCAATGTGTCAAAAAACAGTAAAATGTTCAGGATTTTATTTAAAAATTCAGAGGAAATGAATCGGATACCCTTTGTCTTATAATGTACATGTTTTGTCTTTTTTTTAAATGTTTATTTTCGACTCTAATTGTAAGTATAAGGGATTTATAATGTCAGGGGTCTGTTTAGAAGAAATTTTGGTCCGTTAACGGACCCTTCACAAAATATCTTTTCATAAAAACGGACCCTTCACAAAATAATTTATCTTTAAATCGGACCCTTCGCAAATTTGTTTTATCTTCATTATTGTTTTGTTAATCGAATAAACCCTTCCCTTGTTATTAATTATCTTGTTAAAAACACTGATGAAAATTCTATTGTTTAAACGGTTTTTTCTTCATTTATTTATTTTGAGTTTAATGCAATTTAATAATTTTTCCTATTTTACTTATTGGTCGTTTTAAAAAAAAGATCAGGTTTTATAACTAACCAGTGATGATGAAAAAAATAAAAAATCTATAAAAATTGCTATAGAAAATTACATCTCCTGGGATGCTAAGTTAAAAGTTATTGCTGAAAAAAATGGAGCACAATTAGCACTACAAGGGTGCAACAAAATACCAGTTTGTTTGATACGAATTCCGCATTCGGCTCGCACCGACCACAGTGCTGACGTAAAATATCCTCAGTGGAAAAATCGGATCATGTTTAAAGTCCCTTTGCCGTCAGGCTGACCTTGGGAGATTTTCGTGGTTCAATACTTGACCAAGGAGNCGGAAGAAATTGAAAAGGTTCGCTTCCACACATTGCGTTGCCTGTGAGGCGATTCTTAGCCCAGCATGGTGTCGTTGAAATGCAGCATCCACCATACTCTCCAGACCTAGCACCCGCAGACTGTTTCCTAAGCTGAAAAATTCTCTGAAGGGGACAAGATTTCAAGATGTCGAAGCCATCAAGAAGACTGTAACGTCACTATTAAAGAGCATTCCAAAAGAGGACTTTAAAACTTCGATCCGAAATTTGCACTGCCGAGCACAGACGTGCATTATGGCTGATGGGGGTTACTTCGAATAATATTAAATGGCTATGTGTTTAATTTTATTTTCTTCTGAGTTATTCCATGAGTTCTGGAAATTAATAGCCGGACCTTGTATAATAGAACAATTAATAATAAAATTCAAGGATACAAAATTGAACATCCATTGTCGTAAATCCAAAAATGGGTCGGCTATTCAATGTCGGTTATAAAATAAAATAAATGCTGTCTAAACTAGATTACATTTTGGTTTTTCTCAAGTTTTTATTTCTTAATTTTTGTATTTATTGTCTATTCTTTTACAACTAATTTTTAAAACATTAGCATTGGTTTTGTATCATCATTTTTTATTTATTTGTAGGTAGCAGTCACTTCTAAAGATTCTCCCTCTGCATCACCTGTTAAGAAAGCCATTGTAAAGTCGAATCGTTAATCTCATTCTTAAAATCACTAGACTCGAAACTTAAATCAATAAATGGACCCATGAACTGTTAAATTCAATGCAGCCTTGTCTACTCCTTTATCATTGACCACATCAGTTTTGAATCTCAACTTATTAACATTCCAGAAAAGTGTGTAATTGGACAACATATGAGTTATGTGTCGCTCATAAATAAATAATCATAATAGATAGCTATGCTATCTTTGTCTTTAAGTAATTACTAGTCATTCTTTATAGTTTCACTAATGTATCTGGAATGATGACTTTCTTATTTGATTAAAAATTTCATTCGCTTTAAAAATATACAAGTTGGAAGTAACATTGACGTTTCGAGTGCTCCAAAACGGGCACCTATTTTCAAGACTTACCATACATGAATGAGATGACAAAGTAATTTGAAATATAAAATGTTAAGTTGAAAACGAAAAATATAGGCGAGGAACAAAAATTGTTTTTTCTCTGCTACTGTAGTTTAGTTTCTCATTTATATTTGAAATCATTTTTGTTCCTTCTCATTCACGACCGGCAAGTCTACAAAATTGGAACCTGTTTTTGAACATGTCGACTGTTGTTTCCAATTTGTATATTTATGAAGAAGTTTTTAATCGGGTAATATCTTACTACTTCAGTTTCTTTGGGATTATTTATTTAATGACTTTGTTTGCGAAGTCTTAAAATAATTTTTGCTAGTTCAGTGCCCATTCTTCAAACACAGTAAAAATAAAACAAAAAGTTCAGAATCAATAAGGTGGTATGATTTAAATCATTAGATCTCTCTTTAAAAAATGATTTAAATTAAATGATATTTTTTATTAAAAATAACTGATTTAAGTCAAATATACTTTTTTACTTAAGATCATTTATAAATATATTTTTAAAGTTATTTTTTTTAAAACTTTGATTTCATTGACATTAAAGGTTTTTTATTTCCAATGAGCTGCACAAGTGCGCACACATGAGCAGACCTAGTGCATTCTCCAGAAGTGGTATCCACTCTTTCAGGACCACCACAATGGGTGAGATACCGTTGGCCATGTTAATTTGGACGTCTAGTTTCTGCCACACTAGATGGCAGCACCAAGACTCTTATTTGAATGCTAAAGTGCACTAGGAATTCTAATTTCGTCAGAAATGCCAAGAGCCAATAAGGCCGCTGAGGATTTTCTGCATCCCGAAAATTCAGTGTCTGGGCCGGGGATCAAACCCGCTGTCTTGGGCTCAGAAGGCCGACGACAAACCAACTGCACCACTTTGACATTAAAGGTTTTACCCAGAATAATAATGGGAGGGTAAATCAAGCAAATTATTATTAAAATTTTAAAGTAGAGTAATTTACTCAATTTTTTATTTGATATGCAACTGATAATTTGGTTGTCTGCCTTAACAGGGCTAAGTATTGAGCATTTTCAGTGATTAATTTATAATAATCATTTTAGTAAGAAATTTTAAATACTTCAGTTATATTGTTTTTAAATAGTATTAGGCATTGTTAATATTTTATCAGAACTATGATTGGTAAATATAATAAAAGAAAAAATCTGGTTTAAGTAAAAAAAAATCTGATTTTTGCCAACCCTGTGAACAGATTAATTACAAACATAATGCAATTTATGCTACAAACTGAAACCATATACCAACTCAATATTCAGGGTTCATAGTTGTTCGAATATTTCCGATAAAAAAATATCCTGATTTTTTGCGTTTTGTCCCAATATCCTTGATTTGTTTTGTGTGTAAAGAAATTAAAATTTGATGAAGGCGCGATTTTAAAAGAATCATCTGAATTTTTTATAAATTATTTTTACTAGAAATGTAATAAGAAAAACTAGACTACTCAGTGTCACAATTAATAAAAGCTTATATATTTGAAAAAGTGAAATCCAAAATGTTTTCTGGATGAAGAGGAGTTAGAGACTGCTTTTTTATTTATCTTCCTCTTTTTCCTTAGCAGAATGAATTATTTCAGAATCAGGATTACTATTCAAATCTGGAAAAAAAATTTCCTGTACATATATTAAGAGAAAACATAATGTGTTCTTGTGTCAGCTATATTGGGCTAACTATTCTAATTGAGGGAAGAACTTAAAAGAACAGCTGATAATAATGCTATAGTAAATGATAAATAGTTTAGTACAACTGAAATATCCCATTATGCTTTGAGTGGTCACCATTTTTTAAGAGGAAAATTCCCTGCATTTTTCAAATACTCCCTGTGGAGTGGCAAACCCAGTGAATCAGTGGTGAATTTTTTTTCTTCTTAAAACAGTTAACTTTTTTTTTAAACAGGCATCTCACTGATAGACTACTGAAAAAGAGCAAATTTTTTTTTTTTAAAGAAAACTTTTAGCAAATTCTGCTGAGAGTATCCTGTAGCCACTACTATTCTAGAAACTATAGTAAGTTTAATAACTGTTAAATTTTACTTAAAATGATGCGATAATTGAAGCTGTTTGAGGAACTCTACATTGTGTTATTTTGGTTTATTTTATGAGTGCTCTCTTAAGTTATTGTAATAGCCAGGGGTCTGTTTAGAAGAAATTCCGTTAACGGACCCTTCACAAAATATCTTTTCCTAAAAACGGACGCTTCAGAAAATAATTTATCTTTTAATTGGACCCTTCACAAATTTGTTTATTTTCATTATTATTTTGTTAATCGAATAAACCCTTCCCAGGAATGGAAGAAAGACGGATGTAAAGGAACCGAATTTTGTCTTCAGACGCTTCTTCCTTTATTCTGCGTTTAGCAGTATATTCTAAATACCAAATATTTATATGTTGCATCGCTAATTTTGTAGTAGCAATTGTTTATTTTTAAAAATCTAATTTTTTTTAAATTATAATTTTACAGTGTTGAGCATAATCTTGTAAATCTTTACAATTTAAAAACTCCTTGAAAAAGTTTTTTTTGCAATAACGGACCCTATTTGCACAAATTCACAAAAGCGGACCCCGGTTGNTTTATCTTCATTATTATTTTGTTAATCAAATAAACCATTCACAAAAGCAGACCCCGGTTGAAAGAATGCGACTTGACGTTTATTTTATATTTACAAATTAAGAGTAAATTTTTCACAATTTTACAAAAACCTACCTTTCACAAAATGTCTGGACAGACCCCTGATAGCGCCGATCTTGTATTATTTTCTCTTCTAAGAGAAGAGGTTGGGTTTTCTGTATAAATAATATTTTCGTTCTTAATCACAAGTGAGGACTGACTGCTAATTATTTTTCCAGTTTTTGAGTAAAATATTACTTTTACCTATTTTTTGCATAATTATTTTAAAATCTTTAAGTTAAACACTTGCTAAGTTTTTATCAAAAGTTATAATTTGACTATTTTCAATCAAAAAGTAACTAATTTGTTTATGTCTATATAAATCAATATCTATTTTGCGATATGTAGCTTCACTACAAGTCTGGAATTTTATTTTTATAATTCAATGAAAGCCTTCGAAAATATTAAAAATGGTTCTAGAATGGCCTATTTTTCACAAAACTAAAATTCCCATTTATGTAAATAAACGAACACAAAGAAAAAAAAAGGATTTTTATTGATATTTTTGTTTTCACAACTGTAAGTAAAACACACACTATGGACTGTGCCTGTATGATCGGCAGAAAAATAAAATTTCACAAAATCCGATACAGCCTAAAAATACAGGAACACCCAACTATAAAAAGATGGAGAAAAAAAATGAGCAAATCTGATTTTCCCCACTAATGAATATATCACAGTTCCTGCACAATTAATACAGTCAAGGTATTTTACAAGAGTAACTATATAAGTTACTTGTTACAGTGTGAATTACAGTACAACTTATTTCAGACACAATAAGTAGGATACAATAAGAATAGGTTCTAAGGAAGAATATCTATTATACTATTGACACTAAGAATTTCCTTTAAAGAGAAGTTTCTTTAATTTTTTTACAATCTGTCCTTAAAATCTCAACTACACAGTACAACTAGAAAAATGTTTTAACGATGTAAAGTTTTAAAAATGAAAACTCTCGCTATTTTTTAAGATGTTCCAGCCAGTTCGTAAAACCTAACATTTATTTAGAGAAACTCTCAAAATATTTGATACATCTGCAATGTGAACGATATCAAACATTTTAATTATTTTCTAATAATCATTTTTATATGAAAATTATTAATAAGAGGAAGAAATAATTAAATTTCCATGCTCAAAAATACATTTGATTGAATTAAAGATTTTTTTTTTACACTACAATCTCATAAATAGCATAATTTTTTTTTCTTTTGAAAAACATTCATTCTGCTATACAATATAATTTAAATTTTAGTTTAACTTAACAATAGTGGAATTTGAAAAGTTTATCATTTTATAAACTGTTAAAAAAAAAAGAAAAAAAAAAGTAAATATAACAGGGGTGAATAGGTAAGAAAGAAGCCTTAAAATACAAGAAGTTTCAATTACCTTTTTCTTATTAACACATAGATTTACATTGTGAGTTTTTTTTAAATCTATTAACCCTCCAATCAAATGTTTATTTTACATATTTTCCTTATAAAGTATTTAGTTACATAATTTTATTTTTAAAGATTTTAAAATTTTTTCCTTAAATTTTTGGATGTTTAAATATGAGTCTAAAAATATTTAAAACACACTAACAGATTACACATACTTAGTTCCTCAAATATAACTTTCAATTTTAAACGTTGATTAAAATATTAATGTTTTCAAAACTTGTCTCAACTTTTTATAAGAAATTATTAAAAATGATTATTATTTTTTAATTTTGAAATGATCAATTTATTTTTATAAACTTTAAAATTGACAAAAATACTTTTTACTAGCAAAAAAATATAGTTTAACATGGGGTAAAGAAATGCCAGATTACACTACATAGCTGCCAACATAGGAAAAAAAAATTCAATAAATTTTACAGAATATAAATTTTATGATAACCACTAATTTATATCTAAAATAATTTAGAAGGGGATTTTAGAGATTTTTATAGTAGTCAATAACTAAACTAAACTACACTATTAACTGAAAATTTGAAATGACTGCAATATTTTCCATTTATGATTGGCATTAGATAGAGATTAAAGTGTACTAAATTCATTATTTTGAAAAGTAATAGATATTGAATTATCATTTTAACTTAGTCTGAAATTGAAAATAGATTTCTTAATAGTTTTTTAAAAAGAAAAAAAAAAAAAAAACTTGCTACAAANTTTTTTAAAAAAAAAAAAAAAAAAAAAAAAAGCTTCAAACTGATTACTACAAATAAATGAGGCTAAATTACTACATATAAATGAAAATTTATTATTTAATAATATTTATTTAAATAAGCAAACAATATGCTGAATAAAAACTTTTCTGAAAATTTTCTAATTTTTTAAAATTACAAAAACTTAATTGAAAAAGAAATAATTAACAAAATCTAGGGGTCCACTAGAAAATTTAGTAATGATGGCAGCTATGTCATGATCATAATTATCTTTGATAAACAACTGATTTTCATACATTATATTATTTATTGCAGACATTAAATATCATTCAATTCATGCTGCAAATTTACCACATTAGCACCAAAATTGTATAATTAGCATTAAACACCATAAGTGTTTAAGTTTAAAAATCTAAAATTCTAAGTTTTCTCCTTTTTTCTTTTCATAATTGTTGGCACAATCTATCATTAAACTTTGAGATCTAGCATGTATACATATATATATTTAGATAGGATAAATATTCACACAGAATTCAATAAACAAAACAAAATTGAGCACTAGTCACTGTTTATCAGGGCGGACTAGATAATTCAGCACCTTCAGAATTCTTTGGTCACAATAATATATGAAAGCACATAAATATGGCTATGGGCATCAATTTCAAACACACCCAAATATATATTTGAGAGTTTTCGGAGTTAAAAATGAGTGTATATAAGATTCCCAAAAAATTTAGCTAGCAATTTTTCATAACAGCTTCATCTAAAATCTTAAAATACCCATAAGCAAGCTCGTCAGATAAGTTCGATGCCATAAGGAAAAATAGATGCATTATACTGATTTCAGAAGTTTCTTTTACTAAAACTGAAATTGTTAGTGCTGAATGGAAAAACCTTAAAACAATGATTAACATGGATCACAGAATTTTTCTTGAAAATTTACATTTTAGTAGGATAAATAGAAATCTCTTATACATAAATAATTGACATATCTTTCCAGTGACGAGACACAAAGAATCACTATATAAAAATCACAATTGATTCAAAACGAGGGTAATTTTAACTTGAAAAAACGAGATTCATTGAAAATAAATATTGCCAAAACAAATATTAGTCTGTGTTAATTAACAAGAAACAAAAACATAAACTTTAACTTACTAATGATTAACACGAGAAAAAGATTTACACATTGCAACAATTAGAAAAAATTTAGCATATTTCGACAATTAACAAACTGGTTAAAATGCCAGGCACTTTAACAATAGTTAAATTTACAAATTTATGTTTACTGGCAGTAGTGCTAGTACTACTTTTTTTTTTTGGATGAATGACAATGTTTGATGAGTGGAGGAGAAGGGATTGAAATAAATTCCAATAAATCACTTTAAATCCCTAAAATATCGTAAAGAATAAAAGAATTTTGGACATTGTCAAATCAATGGACACTGTTAAACAGTTATAAAAATTTTAATACATTTTCCCGATCGACGGTAAAATTTAAATCTAGCAATCCTTTTTAAAATAGCACACAGTTATGATACATGAATATATAATTTCAACATTTCAAAAACATTTAATACCGTATATATGTGTATATGGCATAGAAAGACATTTCAATAACTTGAAGCAACTTTTCTAAGGAGAGCCAACAGAAGTTTGATGCTCATGGGGAGCAGGGACTGGGGGTAAAATGTGGGGCTGATGTACTTGATAGGCCACTGCAGACCCTGGTGGTAAGTAGATGCCAGATGAGGGACTCCAGGTGGGAGACAAGACAGACTGGTATGCGTTCATATCCAGAGGTGGGGAAAATGCGACAGCTGCAGGAGTCCAAGTAGGTCCATAGTTTCCAACAGTTGCAGGCATCCAGGAAGTCAAGGGAGGAGATATTCCACCAGGGGGAGTGTTAAAAATTACACTTGGAACACCTAATCAAAGAGAATTACATTAGAATGAAGGAGAAATAAGGGGCTTATCGACAGAAGTGACTCATCAGAAATATGCACAGTTTGAGTTTTAAAAATTAAAATGGCTCTGCTCTGAATAACTTAATTCAATGCACAGATCTTCACATTCTAGGAATCAATTTTAATGTTTCGAGGGGGTGACCTAAAGTATGTTAATTAGTGATTTCGTAACTTAAACTGACGTCTGCAAACTCGAAAATATGCTTTCTCTGAATAAATATACATTTCCTTTGACCCATTCGGATTTCTGACCCCCAAAATATAGTGGGTAGCCACAATCTATGAAATATAATCCTAATAGTTTGGTCAGAAGAGCAGTCCTGAGCTTGGACCCCTTATGAATTTCACTTTTTGCATATTTTGTCATATCTTTTTAAAAGGAATTGAAAAATGTTTGCACAACAATTATAAAATTTTGTTTATCCATGATTCCGTCCAACAACAACAACAACAAAAAAAAAACTTAAGTAGATATTTATTATTTTATTTAATAATAGTCGAAAAATTTCTGAACAGTAAGATATAGTACAATTTTTCACATCATTTTAAAGTATCTTATTTTACATGGCAAAATACAAAATGTTTGCGAAATTGGTTGAATAGTTCGTGGGTTGAGTATTTTTTGTATTTTGCTATCTCTAGAATTTTTTAAGTGAATTGAAAATCTTTTGCACACAATTATAAAATCTGTTTACCCAAAGATAATTCAATAACTATGTTTTATTATTTTAGTTAATAATAGTCTAAAAAGTTTTAAATTGTAATGCGTAAATTTTTTTTAAACATCATTTTAAAGAAAGTAATTTTACAAGGCAGAACGCAAAATGGCCCCAATAGTTTGAGAAATTAATATTAAAAAAAATTTATATTTAAAATTAGATTCTTATGGAACCATTCAACTAATTTCACTCAAATTTTCTATAAAAAGGTGTAGATTAATGACTATGCATGAATTTAGAAATAAATAAGAAAATAACACTTAAATACACTTAATAAAACAAAAAAGATTTCATAAAACAAAGGAAATGAAAAATTATACAGTACTGAAATTTTGTACTTCATCATTATAAAATGATAAAATCTAATTAGAATTAGGCTTTATCGCTATTTTATCCTTCGGTATTCGAACTACTAAATTTTACTGCTAAAAGCATTTCAGTTAAGTTTATATTCTTTTGATTTTTTTAAATTTCTTTCTATCAAATCGTTATTTTAAAAATTGTTTTTAGAACAATTTAATGAGTAGAAAACAATTAATTGTATTTTAGTAACAAACAAAATATTATTACTCTGAGTAGTTAATGGAGAAAAAAACACTTTTTTCAAACAGATTATTATGGAGATTCTCAATAACCGTAACTCAACCACAAGACTCATGTTGACTACGAAGTTAGCTCCTTTGTATAGGGTATGTTAGGAAAGCATAACGTCAAATTTATCATGAATTATATACTAATCTTATATAAATCAATATCTTCTGCCCAAAAGATGTGAAAATTTGACTAAAAATTTTCAGACAATCTTGTAAAATTTTTTAACTTTGAAGCGCTACTACAAGCAGATCTATGATTTTCCTTATAATATTTTGAATTTCTTATCAAAGTTCAGTTTTTGGACCATTGAGGAGATAGATATTATTTCAGAGTTAGACCTGTGTACTTCTCAACTCTTTGCAGAATTTTTATTATACCTTTTTCATACTTTTCTCATTTACTTGTAATAATGTAAGTCAAAATAAGTTAAAAAAATTTTTTTTAATTTTTTTTAAATGGTGGGCACTTGGGGGTTGTCCCACTGGCCACAGGTATGCCAGAACTGCTACTCTCTTCTTGTTACCCAGCGGGCATCTGTGGCGAAGCCATAGTAAAAAAAATATATATATTTATCATTAATAGTTTGTAGTTTGTAACATTTAGTCACTCTGTGGTTACCATTCTTTTTCCCAATAAAAATAGTCATTTTTCAAAATAAAATAAAAATTCAATTTAAAAAACCTAAACAACCGAAAGACATTTGGAGCATTAAATAAAAAAACATTTACCTGCAGGTACTTCATTATTCACACTCTCTTGAGTTCCCCAAGTTCCAATATTGACAGGCAAAGTGGAACCATCACGGCACACCAAATACATGCCAGGCACAGCATACACAGGATATGGATACACAGCCATGGCAGTGGGGCAAGGGGTTGTGGGAGTAGTTGCCGGCACCTCGTCACCCACGGGAGGGCTTGGTGGTTGGGTTCCAGGAATGGACAATGGCATAGAAGTGGCATTGGTAGTGATGCAAGGTGTAGAATAAGGAGATGAGGCGGTCATCGAAGAATATCCACCATCCTCTGGATACACAGAGGCCAAGGTGTAGTGTGAAGGGGGACTTAAAGGGAGTGGGGACTTCAGACTACACTCAGTCCAACCAGAGTCCTAAAAATAGAATAAGATGGATAACTTTAATATATCAGGGTGCGTAGCCAAATCTTTGAATCAAAAATAAGCACTTTTTAAAAACTTTTCAAGCACTTTACAAAAATTTTCAAGCACTCAAAAAATTCATATTCAATCAATGATATTATTGAAAAACAAAAACTTTTTATAAACAGTATTAGCGTTAAAAAAAAAAAGAAAGAAACGGGCGTAAATCGAAACAATCAGTACTTTCCCACATCACCGAGTGAATTCAACTTGACCCTGAACTCAGAACAAAAGTACCCTTACCCCCTACGTCAAAAAAAGTGTTAGAAGTAAAATAAAATAAACAAGAATAAAATTAAAATAAATTAAAAACAAAAACATTTCACAAGGATCTTATATTCTCTATCCGAATTGGAGCACTCTGGTTTCGGTTTCAAGTGTGCACGCATGCGCAAGTCATAACGTGGGTACGACGTGAAGTCCGCGTGAATGATTACGTAGCAAACTCCCCATTTTTCGTGAAATACATGGGATCCACCAGATATCACTGAAGGGGAAAAAAATTATTCGGAAAAAAGCACTTATTAAAAACACCAGCTGAAAAAAGCACCTTTAAAAGCTTTTAAAAACGAAATCCCCAAAAAAGCACCTTTAAGTACTTTTTACAAATGCTACGCACCCTGTATATACTTACTATTTTACAAAAGTAATGCAAGTGCACAGAAAAAATTAGGCATCTGTAAAATTTATCTTAAGCCACAATGATCGAATAATTAAGGCACTGAGTCATCGTTGAGAGAGATACAGGTTCGATCCCCAGCTTGGGTTTAAAGCCCATTCAGCTTCAGCATTCTTGCTGGGAATAAAAAAGAAGTTAGTGTGCAATGATGATTACATTGCCATCATTATGCCATTGGCCTAATCACATAGTCAAAGTTGTAGTTTTAACCTCCATGGATGACAATAAACTTTTGTAAGAGTGCTTAAAATGATTTTAAAACAGGTAAATAATAAATCTTGCAAATTCTGAAGACAAAGAAATTTTTTAATCATAGAATAAATAAATTTCTTTCTTGAATATTTTAAGCGAAATAAACCAATCTACTTGTATGTGGTATAAAGGGGGAAAAACCATTAAATTTCACACAATTATTTTGACAGTCCTGCAATTTGAAATAAGCTTTACAGTTTACTTAAGAAATTTTGTACAAATACTGCGGTCAATGCAGTATATAATATAGAAATCCAAATTCCCCAATTTAGAAATTCATGATTAGTAGGCTCAGAACTGTCAGGAGACCCACTGTGCATAGTATTGAACCAAATATACAATCTTGTAAGAGAACAAAATGCTTTTGAAAAGTTATTATAAAATAAATATATATTAAGCATTTATTAGTACACAGTTCAAGGAGAAAAATTGCAAGGGATTCTAAGAAATTTTAGGGCATCCCAGGTCTTTCTGACCTTGTCATAAGTCAGACACTAATATCTGAACAAGAGATCAACATTTTCAATTTATTGGTATAGTTCACAAAGGTATCTTATATCCTCTTTAGAAATGAAGTTAACGGTATTTGATATTTCCTTTAATTATTAAAAAGCTTTAATATTACGAATAGTCAAATGCAGATCAATGGTAGCAAAAGCAAACTTTTGGCTAATTTAGAGGTGAGGCATGAAATAATATTTGAAAAATATAAATTTTTAAAAAAAATAAACTTACATTTGTATCACTCAACAACTCTGGACTATTATGTTGAATATGGTAGCAATCAGATGACATTTTACCTGAAATAAAAAACAAATACTTTTTTAAAATTTAAAAAATCAAATATTTATAACACTATAGTATAAGCATAAATTTTATTAAAAAAATTACTGCATTATTTGTAAAGAAAAGAATTAAATCTCTAAAACTTTTTATAAATAGTAACTGCTAAAATGATGGCTGAGAGTCACTCGTCAGCTTCTGCACAAAAGTACCATTAAGAGCAACAAAAATATTCATTCTATAATAATAAAAAGAGTTTCTGTGTATCTTTTTTTTTTTTAAACTTCAGAAACCTTGGTTAGAATCCTGAAATTTTGACAGTGGGTAAAGGGGCATCCTAAAAATTGACAAAAGAATTTGCTTAGTCTTTTTGGGAGTGAAGCCTTAGGAAAAAGGAATTTTTCTTTTATAGCTTGAGCATTAAACATCAATGATTTTGTTTTTCAATGCTTATGACTATTCTGTTTTTCAAATATTTAAAAGATAATATGCGTGTTCTTTGCTAGCTCACTGCTCCATTTAATCAGAAAAGTAGTTTTTAAAATTATTCCTTATTACTGATACCAGGACAACTCAATCAACATGCATGGTGTGAAGGCTACGCTACTGAATTAGTACAGAAGAGAACCAATAATCCAGGAAGTCTGAATTTCCCGGTTTTCTGGATCAGTTAAGTGACGCAGTTTATCAAACCCAAATTACAATGAAAAAGAGTAAAACACTTTAAAGTAAAAAAAAACCACTTAAGAAAAAAAAAAAAAAAAANACAAGTTAAGACAAGAAAAAAAAAGTTTAAAAAATACAAACTTTAAATAATTTATTTTTTAAAAATTTCATCAACCTTTAGCTGACGAATTTTACATAACACGTTTTAACTAATCTTGGTAGTAGATGATGGATGATCTAATTTCTGAGATATAGAAGATAAGAGCAAAGAGGATGTGAAATGAATGAAACTGTGCATCTGTAATTGAAGATTAAGATGTGAAACTATTTTTTTTAAAACAGTAAAGACAAGGTGTCCCAAGAGTTCTATTTCACGAAAGGGGGTTGGAAGAGATTGAGACAGGTCAGATAGTTGTAAAATTACGTTGATAAAAATAGCAGGATTCTTTTTTGTGTCACTTTTAAACTGGATAAGAAAATTAAAAATAAGGATTGAACTTGAGTAAAACCATGCTGGTAACTCAAGGATAACTAACTTGATAAGGATTAACTCAAAACGTAGTGTAATTAGAAATTTATCACTTTAAAAAAATTAAAACTGCAATCTGCTTCGTAAAATAATAGTCAGTTTTTAGTATAATAAATAATTGCATGCTTTTATTAATAAACAATCTTATCTTTTTTATAAAGGACTATTTTTAACGAAAGATGCAATTCCACTTAAAATAAAACTGGCAAATGATACCACACTTCAAAAAAAAAAAAATCAGAATTCATTAAATTGAAAAATATTATTTCATTTTTAGATGTCAAATAAATCTGACAGACGATGAAAAAAAAGTTTTGTTCCTATTACAGGGTGCGTAGCCAAATCTTTGAATCAAAAATAAGCACTTTTTAAAAACTTTTCAAGCACTTTACAAAAATTTAAATTTTCAAGCACTCAAAAAATTCATATTCAATCAATGATATTATTGAAAAACAAAAACTTTTTATAAGCAGTTTTAGCGTTAAAAAGCCCAAAAAGNAATTATAAAAAATAATTTGTCATGAATAAAAGATAACAAAATTTGAGAAACTAAAATGGATTATTGCGTTTCGAATTATATGTTACTAATTCTTTCTCTTTGGAATTCCTTAGTTGGTACCAATGATAAAAATTTATTTGTTTCAATTTAGGTGTGCACAACCTTTTTGAGTGAAGGGCCACTTGCACAGCAGGTTGTCTAACGAAGGGCCGCAGATGTATTTAGACATGTTAATGACAAATGTAGTAATGTTTATTTAAACATTAACGTTTCATTTTTTTTATCAATAAACTTAGCAATATCAATAACTTAGTAGTGTTCCATTATAAGAATTCATTCAAAAATAAAAACTTATACTTTTTTTTCTTACAAAAAAAAACTTGCCATTTTTATCATATGAGCAATAGATTTATCAAAATAAATAAACATTGAAGAAAAGAAATGTTAATTTTTNTCATATCATGCAATACGAAAATTCATTTTAGAATTAAATTCGAATAAATAAAAAAAACTGCAATGACACAGAATGAAAGTAGGAAAAAGTTTAGTCCTAATTAAGTAATATAAATTCAAATTAAATATTTTAATTGAAGAAAATTTATAGGTTTTAAACAAAATCCTAAAATAAAAACAAAACTTTGATAGTTCAAAATAAAATTCAATGATTATTTTGTAATGTACTTTATTATTTTATTAATTATCAGATTTTTTTTTATATCGTAAACATTTTCCTTTTTTTTTAAATCCAAAAAGATCATTTAAGCAACAAAAAATTGAAATCTAAACTACAAACAGTGAGCAGTTTAAAAATTCATGATTTCCGTCATTTTATGAATTTCACAAGTTGCAATAACATTGCATTTAAATCAGGGAGGGATGTAATGAGTATTTGGCCCTTCTGTGAAAAATTCAGTTGGTTGAATGATCAGTCAAATATTCGGCAGAATATTTTTTAGAAATGTATTTTTCCAAGTTTTTTTAATTTTTGAATTTTTATAGATATTACTTTTTTTTTTCTTAAATTATAATCAGACAAGTCAATTTTGTCATTTTTTCGATACTTTGAGAATTGAGAAGGATTTTTTTCCATTTTTTGCTGCTTTTATTATAACCCAGCATTTTAACAGAACGTCTCATACTATTAATTTATTATCACTCTTTCCCCGTACTGTAATATAAATAACCAGTAACATAGGAAAGTGTAATTTTCAGTATTCAAGTTTTGTTTCAGGAACTAAGAAAAAATTGTTTTTTCTGTTTTTCTTTTTTTAGGCATTTTTATTATGACTCAGCATTTTTTTTAAAAATAAAGTTACTAATAAAATTTATTTTATAGCAATTTTTTTCCTTCTAAAATTATGGCAATGAGAAATATTTAAATCGAAATTTTCGGCATAAGATTTTCATTTAAAAAAATTAAGAACGTTTTTTCTATCTTTTTATTTTCTTTAAATAAAAAAAAACTTTTTTTAGACGTTTTCATTATAACGCAGTAATTTTTAATATCATTTCTGTTGATTTTAATTCCTTTTTCTTGGCTTTTTCTGGAAAATTGAAAAACTGAGATGTTTAGCTTTAAAATTTTTTTAAAAAAAGTAAGATTGATTTTTATGTTCTCTGTTTCGACATTTTCAAAAACGTTCTCGATTGGCCTTATTTTTTAGAATTAATTTATGACTACGTTTTTCCAGGAAATATTATTCCGAGCATTGAAATTTCAGTTTCAGTGATGCGATGCTGCTAAAAGATTTTGCTATTTGGCCCCAAGTGTACGGCGTTCAGTCGATTTTTTCTTCTTTTTTTTTCCGAATATCTGGTTTTTGATCAAATCACAATTCATTACCACATTCGACCAAATCATATTCGTTGCGGAAATAAAAAAGAAGGAAAAATAACTAGGATTTACGATAAAACTGTACGGTAATACCGTATCAAAAAGTGATTATTTAATTGCGTGATTAACAATCACGTGTCGTAATAACATCATAGTTAAATAACGGGATCGTCAAAATCCCGAGGAAAAGTATAGAAATAATTAGGAAAAAATATATTTATGCTGAACTCAGCACAAATAAAGCGCGTCAAATGCATGATTTAAAATTTGCATGTCGTAACAGAATAATTGGAATTTTTTATAATACGTAGGAACGCATAGCAATAACTGCCGAGAAAAATTTTTGAAGAAAAAGAAAGAATTGCAAAAAAAA